CTAACAACTGAAGGTAGATCACCATACTAGGGACCATGGGGACTTACAGTACATTTGCTTCCTGCATAGACCCCAGCTGGATTTACATCATCCCCTCAGCTGTTAGCAATTGAGATATACCTAGCCATACATAAAATTACACATATTCTACGATTAAAAAACGGAAAGTTGAAATTTACTTTGAATGTTTTGGGACTTACGTACCCTCTCAGGAGGACAATAATTTTACAGTACTTCAACCCCCCTCGAGGATACAGCCACTAACAATCTCAGTTACTAATTCAAACTTCCAATCAAAAAATATTTAGCTATTTACAAATCAGTCAACAAGTCTAATTCTTTTAAAAAGTCAACTATCAAATGATAACCAACATTATAAAAAAGATCCTTCAATGTTTTGACATTAAAAAACTTATCCCTTTGTGATGGAATATTCAACACAGTCAAGCAGGACATGCTTGACTGTGATTCTTTCATCACAAGGGATGCAAAACGGAGGATCCTCGCCTTTCAGTAAATATTCGTGAGTATATCTAGTGTGGCCAATGCGACATCGTCGCATAATGACCTCTTCATATCTGGACTGACAACCCAAGTAGGTGTAACCAATGTAGGGTTTTATTTCATGTAATTTATTAATACCTACTTGGTGTCCTGACTTCTTCTGCATTAGATCGCGAATGTATGTTCTAATGCTTGCTTTATAATCAGAGTATGGGATAAGAATTGTTGTCACAGATTTGTTAAGGGCTGCCTTGGCAGCAAGATCAGCCATTGTGTTCCCAGAAATGCCAACGTGGCTGGGTAACCAACAAAAGACGATGTCGCATTGGCCAGTAGCAAGCTCATTATACAATTCAATAATTTCTACTAAAAGTGGATGTTTACAAGAAATACTTTTAATAGCCTGAAGACACGAAAGAGAATCGGAAAAGATTATGTACTGTTTATGTTTAGGATGTCGTTGAATATATTTAAGAGCCGTTAATATGGCGTTTGCTTTCTGCTGTAAAAATGGAGCTGTTATCTGGTATTCTAGAAGATATTTGTTTTGATCCAATGACAGTGGCACATGACACCGCGCCACCGTCCTTGGACCCATCTGTAAATAAGGATTTGTGTGTATTATATTTAGTTTTTAGTTGATTATATTCTTGTTTATATTGTAATTCATTAGTTTCCGATTTTTTAAACTTTGTCAGAGTTAGGTCAACTTCAGGCCTAACCAGTTGCCAAGGAGGAGAAGAAAGAAGACGGGAAGGAGCTATATTTTCCAGCTCAATGCCGGCAGCAGACAGGAATGGCTTAATTCGGTGCCCAAGAGGCGGAACAAGAGAAGGTTTTTTGTTGTATAAATCCTCATAGAGGGGATGAAAGACACAGTTATATGCAGGGTTAGCCTCATTAGAATATAGTTTAGTAATATATTGTAAAGATAATTTTATACGGCGTTGTGCAAGAGATGGCTCATCTGCCTCGACGTAGAGACTGTCAACAGGAGAAGTTCGAAAGGACCCAAGACAAAGTCTCAGGCCTTGGTGGTGGACAGAATCTAAAAGTTGTAGGTTGCTTTTGCAGGCTCCACCATATACAATGGAGCCATAATCAAGTTTGGAACGGACCAATGATCGATACAGATGTAAGAGGGTAGCTTGATCCCTCCCCACTTAGAATTTGAAACGACTTTCATCAAGTCAAGTGCCTTCAGGCATTTAGTTTTTAGGATTTAATATGCGGCAGAAATGTTAGATGGGAGTCAAAAGTTACACCCAAGAACTTGGCCTCCTTAACAACTTTGATGGGAGTGCCATCCAAAGATAGTTCTGGGTCTTTATGAGGTTTGTATTTACGACAGAAATGAATACAATTAGTTTTGGATTTAGAGAATTTAAATCCGTTTTCAAGACACCATTTATCTATTTTGTTTAAACACAACTGCAGTTGCCGTTCAATAGTATGCATATTTTTCCCACGACAAGAAATATTAAAATCATCCACAAATAATGATCCATCAATTGAATTGTTTAAAACCTTGATAAACTGTTGATCTTAATACTAAACAGGGTGACAGACAAAATACTGCCTTGCGGGACACCCTGATCCTGATTATAATGATCAGACAGGGTTGAACCCACTCGGACTTGAAATTGTCTATCATTTAAAAAGTTGATATAAATTGAGGCAAACGGCCTCGTAATCCAAAAATCATGTAAATCTCTTTAAAATGCCATATTTCCACGTTGTGTCATATGCCTTCTCAAGATCAAAAAGATAGACACAGCGTGTTGTTTATTAATTAGAGCGTTTTTAGCAAACGATTCCAAACGCACTAAGTGATCGACAGTACTTCTGTTTTTACGGAAACCACATTGTATATCTGTTATGAGGTTATTTGTTTCCAAGTACCAAACAAGTCGATTATTGATCATTCGTTCCATGGTTTTGCAAACACAGCTAGTTAGTGAAATAGGTCGATAATTGGACGGATCTGTATGATCACGTCCAGGTTTAGGTATTGGTACTACTATAGCATCACACCATGAGGGAGGAAATTTACCTGATGTCCAAATTTCATCAAAAATATTTAAAAGAGTTTCTAGGCAGGGTTCTGGTAAGTGCTTCAGGAGTTGATAATGTATGTTATCAGCACCTGTAGCAGTATCGTGAGCTTGCTCAAGAGCAGTATGGAGTTCATGAATAGAAAATGTTTCATTATAATCTTCCCCATTATCTGAATTGAAATTAATAGGTTTCTTTTCTTGTTGTTTTTGATATTGTTGGAATTTAGGCACATAATTAGAAGAGGAAGAGTGTTTAGCAAGAGTTTCACCAAGTTTATTCGCAATATCAGATTGATCAGTAAGTAATTGATCTCCATGTTTTAGATGATGGACGCTAGATTTAGTACCTTTACCTTTAATTTTCTGTACCATGTTCCATACTTTGGACATGGGCGTTCGAGAATTTAATTTAGATACATAGTTTTGCCAAGATTGGCGTTTATTCTGTTTAAAGGTACGCCGCGCTTTAGCATTTAAAATTTTAAATTTATCTAAATTATGCACCATAGGGTGGCAACGGAAATAACGTTCTGCTTTTTTCCTTGCCTTCCTAGCTTGTTTGCACTCGTTGTTGAACCAAGGTTTTCGAATATGTGGAATTGCAGAGGACTTTGGTATGCACTCATCAGCTATGATGTTCAATTCATCGGAAAAACATTTGATAGAATCAGGAACGTCAATAAAATGTTCAGGTTTAAGGTTTGCAGCACACAGTGTTTGATATAGAGCCCAATTAGCCTTTTTAAAATTCCGCCGTGATGAGGGAGGAACATCAGATGGAGTTACAGGTTTTAGTATAGTGGGAAAATGGTCACTTCCACAGAGGTCATCATGGACTGACCATTCAAATTCATTTAGTAGCTCTGAATCTGTGACTGACAAGTCGAGGGCAGAATAGGTTCCTGTTCCAGGGTGTAAATATGTGTGGGAACCATCATTACAAATACATAAATCATTATCTGAACAAAACTCTTCCAGCAGTTTACCTTTAGCGTTTGTAGTTGCACCACCCCAGAGTGGATTGTGGCCATTGAAATCTCCCATGATAATACAAGGTTTCGGCAGCTGGTCAAATAGAGCTTGAAGATCAGTTTTGTGAAACGTTGAAGACGGAGAGATATATACAGAACATAATGTTAACGCAACATGCAAAGTAATTCGCACTGCAACAGCCTGCAGATTAGAAGTTAGTGAAACTGGGCTATGGATAACGTTCTGTTTGACCAGGATGGAAGTTCCTCCCGTAGCCCTGTCACCCGGAGGTGAAAAACAATGATATGCATTGAAAGAACGCAGGACAAAAGCATCTGTCTGTTTTAAATAGGTCTCCTGCAGACAGAACGCTGATGGTGTTAAATCCTGGACTAAAAGCTGTAATTCATTGAAATTAGTCCTTAATCCTCTGCAATTCCACTGTATAATATTATTCTGATAACCTATCTTTTAGGGGGATTAATTGGGGATCTACCCCGCACTTTTCTGGTGGGCGACAAGCTGTGTGCCCTAGAACGGACGTTTTCGGACACGTCCATATCCTCAAGAGATCCATATTTGTTGTACAATTGAATTTTATTTTCTGACCCTTTGGGGGCTCTGCCACTAAGTTTTTTTCAATGAATCAAGCTTTCTATTTTTGGATTTAGTGAGACCTTGTTGCGACTTTGTTGACGTCTGTGAAGATGGTTCATGATCATGGGATGTCTCTGATTGTATATGAGATGTACCAGGCTGTAACTCTACTGTTTGAGTAGAGGTAGTAGGTTGTGACTCACCTGTTTGAGTAGAGGTAGTAGGTGACAAAATGGTAGGGGAATCCGTTTTCACCCAAGTCAAGGTTGTCTGGCAGCATGAGGAGACTGTAACGACTCTAGGTTTTGTTTCAGGCATTTTTCTGGCAATGGAAGAATAACTTTCAGTTTGTTCTGAGCTTAAGACTTGTCTTTTTGCATCTGCAAAGCTGATGTTTTGTGTGAACTTAAGTTTGTTAATTGCCATTTGTTGTCTCCAAACAGGACAGTCTTTAGAATAAGAAGGGTGATTCCCTGAGCAGTTAGTGCATCTTTTAACAGTACTATCATTAATCTTCTGTTGTGTGTGTCTTTTCACCACAGTGAGCACACACAACAGACAATGTGCAAGAATTCACACCATGGCCGAACTTTTGGCATTTGAAGCACCTGAGAGGATTCGAATGTATGTTTCAACAGTCAGATTACAATAGCCTGCCTTAAGTGATCTTGGAGCTGAAGGTAGAGAAAAGGAAAACAGATAAGTATTGGTGCTGAAGGTTTCATTATTTCTACGAGCAGAAAACGTTTGACATAGAGAACACCCTGATCTCTCATCTCAGAGACGATATCCATTCTGACATGTCAGCGAGTAATCGGTCACGGTCTCTCACGATACCCTTTACTCGTGTTGAGTGTTTTGTGGGCCGTGATGGTCACTGGAATGCCAACAAAGTTCTTGGTGTTCAACAGGTTGTTTGACTGTTGCTTTCTGGCACACTCAATTAACAGTGCACCAGAGCGTAATCTTTGATATTCTTCACATCCCCAGCAATGCCTTGGATACCCTTGGACACGGCAAAAGGGTTTAACTTCAACGGTGTGTGATCTTCAGTCTCAACAACTAGAAAACGTGGCCAGTAATCGATAGGTTTGGGCAGTCCGAGGTCAGTATCAGTAGGATCTGTTTCAAGTTGACGCTTTGTCTTTTGGGGGTTTTCGTAAGCCATAGTTATTGTATAGAATTCATCATCCGGGCTCCCCACCCACCACGGAGTATCACAAGGACAATGCTAAAAACAAGTGGTCCTCCAACTTGCAGCACCAAGGATACCCGGATGATATACTCCAGCAGAAAAATTAAAGATAAATGATTCCACCAGATTGGCCCATGAGCCACCGCCTTCTGGGCATACTACTCTAGACAAATACATACATGAAATTGTTCAGTTGAAATTTAAAAATTCAAAGTTCAAAATTGCCAAGACTTAAATATATCACATAATAATTCCCAAATTTTGTGCAACATTTTACAGTTGTAGCACAGGGCTTGACGTGACCAGCCGATTGATAGAACCGGGCCAGTTCTACCACCCGTCTAGGTGAAGTAAGGGGCGAAGTGGTGTGTTGGGCAAAGGAACACTGTTCCTGGAACCAGTGCCCTCAACCACCAGCCTCCCGTCCTCCACCGACACAGGGGCGCAACCCACGGCAAACGGGTTGGTGGACCAAATATCCCCCCGGGTCCACAACGGGGTTGAAGGGCGCTTAGCGTGACCCAGCACCCACCACGAGGAGGTGGCCCTTCATGGGTGCCAGGAGAAAGAGGACAAGGAGCGGAGGGAAAAGGAGAAAGAAGACAAGGAGCGGAGGGAAAAGGAGAAAGAGGACAAGGAGCGGAAGGAAAAGGAGAAAGAAGACAAGGAGCGGAGGGAAAAGGAGAAAGAAGACAAGGAGTGGAGGGAAAAGGAGAAAGAGGACAAGGAGCCGGAGGGAAAAGGAGAAAGAGGACAAGGAGCGGAGGGAAAAGGAGAAAGAGGACAAGGAGCCGGAGGGAAAAGGAGAAAGAAGACAAGGAGCTGAGGGAAGAGGACAAGGAGCGGAGGGAAAAGGAGAAAGAAGACAAGGAGCGGAGGGAAAAGGAGAAAGAAGACAAGGAGCGGAGGGAAAAGGAGAAAGAAGACAAGGAGAGGAGGGAAAAGGAGAAAGAGGACAAGGAGCGGAGGGAAAAGGAGAAAGAGGACAAGGAGCGGAGGGAAAAGGAGAAAGAAGAGAAGGAGCGGAAGGAAAAGGAGAAAGAGGACAAGGAGCGGAGGGAAAAGGAGAAAGAAGAGAAGGAGCGGAGGGAAAAGGAGAAAGAAGACAAGGAGCGGAGGGAAAAGGAGAAAGAAGAGAAGGAGCGGAGGGAAAAGGAGAAAGAAGACAAGGAGCGGAGGGAAAAGGAGAAAGAAGAGGAGGCGGAAGGAAAAGGAGAAAGAGGACAAGGAGCGGAGGGAAAAGGAGAAAGAAGACAAGGAGCGGAGGGAAAAGGAGAAAGAAGAGGAGCGGAAGGAAAAGGAGAAAGAGGACAAGGAGCGGAGGGAAAAGGAGAAAGAAGAGAAGGAGCGGAGGGAAAAGGAGAAAGAGGACAAGATAAGACGACAGAGAGAGACGAAAGAAGAAGGAAAAATCCAAATTTAACTGACCACCAGGGGTCAGAAGACATTGCCAAGAGGAGCGGAAGGAGGAAATCCCTGGTTGCCATGGCCCCAGCTAACACGGAAATGTTTTAAAAATATCCCCAAAACATTTCGTGAAATGTTCCAGAAACATTTTTTAAAATGTTTTATTCACGTGATTTTGTATGGTTCCAGAAATGTTTTAGAAACATTTTCAAAAACGTTTAACTATAAGGTTTTTAAAATGTTTTCCTGAAATGTTTTTTCGAGATGTTTTGGAAATGTTTTAAAAAATGTTTTATTCACGTGATTTTGTATGGTTCCAGAAACGTTTCAGCAATGTTTTCTCCAACATTCAGTGAATATATTCCATAAAGGTTTTCTGAAAACGTTTTATAGATGCGATTTTGTATGGTTCTGGAAACTAGGGGTGTCACGATACACCAATCTCACGATACGATACGTATCACGATTTTAAGGTCACGATACGATACGTATCGCGATACATAATTTTCGCGCCTTTTCATAGCATTACCTTACAGGCAACGTACTCGCTCGCTGATTGGTCCATCAAAATACTCTAGCCAATCACAAAAGCTGTTAGTTTCCAACCTATTTTTTAAGTAAAGCTAGCTACATCTATTTATCGGAGCGATCTCGTATAATTTTACCATCAAGACTTAGAAGGAGATGGATATAGCATAAAAATTTGAATCGATAAAGTTTTAAAATAGGAATCGATACACGCAAGCATGTATCGCGTATCGTATCGTCAGTAAAAATGTATCGATGCATCGATACATTCGCGTATCGCGACACCCCTACTGGAAACGTTTTAATAACATTTCCTTCGAACATATAGTTTTAACTTTTCAAGCATATAGAATAGCCCTGATAACAATTAGGTGGTTTTTTGTTTAAAACGTAAACCACTGGAACAAAACGTAGAACACTAACAGTTAACAATGTACATAATAAACTCTGTCAAAAAAGAAACGCAACCCCTGTCCTCAGATATGAAAAATTCGTTTGAATGAAGTTATTGCTTCCAAACTAAATGTTATTCGAATGTATTGAAATTATACACGTAATTAATGAAGATTACCATCCAAACAACTGCATTTGTACGCATAAGTGTATTTTATTGCTTATTCCGTCACAACGCATGAAATGACCCTCATGGTGACTTCGCACAAAAAAACACATGCAAATCATGAAAATGGCAGTTAATGTAGGGGTGTATAAAAGCCCATGTGCTTTCGTATTATATTCATTCATTTGTCGCATGAAAAGCTGTGTGAAAAATGCCACGATTGAGTGCTGCCGACCGAAATATCGCCATTGGTCGTGTTCAAGCCGGAGAAAGTTTTGGAACTGTTGCACGGCACCTAAATGTTCACAAAACAACGATATCCCGACTTTGGAGCCGCTACAACAACTTCAATTTGACCAACGATCGCCCGAGAAGTGGAAGGCCAAGAATCACGACCCCCCTTCAAGATCGGTACATCCGGGTCCATCACCTGCGTAATCGGCATGCCCTACCAACCGTGACTGCCACACAAATACCAGGTTTGAGGAGAGTGTCAGCTCAAACGATTAGGAACCGTCTGAAAGAAGCGGGTTTACGTGCCTGTAGACCAGTTGTTGGACCTGTACTACGCCCCCTACATCGACGCCGACGACTCAGGTGGTGCAACAACGTAAGGATATGGACTTTACAAAACTGGAGGCGCATCTGGTTTTCTGATGAATCCCGTTTTCTTTTGCAACATCACGACGGAAGAAAACGTGTGTATAGGAGACGTCATGAACGTTTTGCGCCCATCTGCGTCCGACAGGGGGACAGATTTGGCGGAGAAAGCGTTATGGTTTGGGGATCCATCTCATACAACCAGAAATCAGACTTGGTGATCGTTGAAGGGAACCTGACAGCCCAACGTTACATCAACCACGTATTACAGCCTCACCTTCTCCCGATTATTGACCAACAGACACAGATTTTTCAACCAGACAACGCCCGGCCTCATACTGCACGTGCAACAATGAACTTTCTGCAGAATTCCAACGTCAATGTCTTGCCATAGCCCTCTAAATCACCAGACCTCAACCCTATTGAACACCTGTGGGATACTCTGGGTCGACGCGTACGTCAACGTCAGCCGCCGCCACAGACGCTGCAACAGCTCGGCGTTGCACTGCAGGAGGAGTGGAGAGCCATTCCCCAGGAAAGAATCCGGCGTCTTATCCGTTCTTGTCCAAGGAGATGCCGTGCAGTGATTGCAGCTCGTGGTGCTCATACGAGATACTGAGAAAGACGCCCCCCTGGTGACAAACTGGTGTCTGTGAGATGACTTTTGAAATGACAATTTTAAACATGCCCATCTTGGTTATTATTCTGCCAAATTTCAGACTTCTGTCTTAAATAATAAAAATGCTGTGTCGTCTTAAAACTTCAGATCAAAATCTCTAAAATACAGGGGTTGCGTTTCTTTTTTGACAGAGTTTATGTCTGTGGCAAATAGTTAGACATATACATAGGGGCGTGTCTCACTTAGAAACAGCGTTAGAAAGACATATAGATGTCTAGACTCAACCCTTTTACTATATAATAGGGTTGGGTCTATACCTCTATATGTCTTTCTAACGTTGTTTCTAAGCGACACATGTCCCTATGGACATATATAGTTAATCTTTACAAGGACACCAAAAACAGATAAAAGAATGGCAGACTTGTAATCAACAATTTTATTAATAATTTTGGAAACGTGTACACTTTTTCAGTTTGTTTCATTATCTTCTTCTTTGCTTTTGCAGTCATCCATATTTCTGAAATATAGAAAACTTTCAATAATCTTAAGCAGGTACTTGAAATGTGATATTTACTCAAACCAAGTGACACTAACCAGGAGACTCAGTCTTCTATCACGTTTGTACAGACAGTGTTTGTGGACATGAACACACTATTGGAATGTAATGACTGATATGATAATATCCAGAATCGTGCTGAATACCAAAGATGTAGCAAGCACAGAATATCACTTACTGGTCAGAGGCTGGGTACAAGTACAAATCAAATCTTGCAATAAAAAGCCCAAAATATATCAACATGTTTATAGACAATGGTATTTAACAGCTGCACTTACATAATTCACTGCTCCTGGAATATTTGATGTGTTCCTCCATAAATCCATCATGTGTAACAGTGTGTTTGTATATCCTGGAATGCTTGTCTCATATTCGCCCTTGCTGCAATGAACATAACAATGTTACACATTATCACAAGTTATAAATTGAACCGTTTTCCATAAAGCATATAAAGTAGCTCCAGTTAGTCTAAAGCTGAAACATACTATGTAATTGCCTCAAGCTTTTGGTGGGTGCCCATTTACAACAAACTTGGATTACTGGCGAGCGTTTCTAGCCCAGAATCCAAACTGGAATTGATTTATTACACATCTATTGTAACTAGCTACATGATTCAAGCCTTAAAGAACCACTAAACTTTGTTTTTTGTTACTCTTTTAACCATTACATATGAAAGATTTGTGGTTAGTCTTATGCGGAACACCAAATTTATTCTTTAAAAACTTGTGGTTAATTAATACCGAGCGATTAAAGTGGCCAAAAAGTCGCCTGCTTCCCTCTCGCCCGCCAACGAAACCACAGACAGGTTACGTAACTCTGTCGCCAGAGCACTGCAGTGACGTCATATGAGGAACGATTTTCAGTTAGTTGTATAGAAAGTGTGTAGCACGCTCATCATTTTGATGATTTCTCGACATGAACGCATTTATTACGCTGGAATCGTTGCTTTGTCGTCAATTGCTCCTAGGGTCGGGTGATGGTGTCACCATGCACAGATTTCCACAGGATCCCGCAGTTCGCTAAATGGGTTATGTTTGTGAGCGGTGGCGAAGCGCTGTGGAAGCCTGAAACGATATCTTACTTGTGTTCAGATCGCTTCACGGAAGTTAAAGAATCAAAACTACTTACTAGTTATAGTAAAATATGTATATGATTGATGACCATAAAGATTTTCCATAACACAACTTGTAACATAACGATTTCTTCCTCGGAAGTGAGGTTGTGGTCGAAGTAACAATAATATTGTAAGTAGTATTATATATTGACACCCACCTGGCTGCCAGGAGAGAAATTGTCATGTTATACGCTATGTCATGCAAAATCTTATTGGCCATCAATAAAATACATATTTTATTATTAGCAGAAAGTAGTTTTGATTTTGGGAATCTTCGCGTGAAAACAAACCTAAATAGCATTTATCCACAGACTGGCTGGATGTTCCGACAGGGCTCGCCATTTTGAAAATCAGAAGTCTGTTAGAATTAATGAGATTATAGTTTGTTTTCATCAAGTTAGAAAATCAAAACTACTTTCTACTCAGTAGTTAAATATGTATTGGAATCATAACCAAAGGGTTTTGCATGACACAACTTATAACATAACGATTTCTTCCACGGAAGCCAGAGGTGGGGGTCGAAGTCACAATATCTGCGCGATAAATTTCTTTTGCTACATTCACATGGTTAATGTCCACTCACCAGTATGTAGATACTAGTCAATGTGCGTCTTTATATTTGGTCTTATAATCCTAATTAGTTTTTTATCATACTTTTATGCATTTTGAAACTAAATATAAAGCTGACGATCTGCTGATACTTATAGTGAATTTATGACAGAACTGTAATATCTAGACATTTTATAGTTTGCCAATGTGAATCATAATTCGCACACACACCCTAGTGTATGTTGTCTGTCTCATTACACTTCAGGACGAAAACAATGATTCTGTTGAATGCTACGACAAATGATTAAAAAACAAAATGCAAATATTAAAATTAAAACAGATTAAAGTTATAGGAACAATATCAGGCCATTACCTTGTTTTGAGGAATGTATCCATCAATATCCACAAACTGTTCCAAATGATGTGTCTTTTAACAGTTTAATATACGAAAAGTGATAAATCTTTCAGGTATTGGTGTATAGTCTCATTGG